GGACACTGGGCTGGTGGCATGGACCGTGCCTCGGCAAGAACCGAAACGCTTCCCCTCTGCGAGTGATGGGGGAAAAAAGGGCAGCAGTGCCCAAGCAAAGAGACCTGATGGAGGGTGGGTCCCATGCGGGCATCAACCCCACAGCAAGGGGACAAGGCTACCCGGGCAGCATCCGAGTGCCGGGAATTGGGGACGGAGGGGTACGGCTGAGTGGTGCGGTCAGTGCCCCTCACCCTGACTCACCCTCCTTCCCCCAGCCCATGAAGATGCACCAGGACTCCCTGGAGGAGCAGCAGGAGAAGGAGGCAGACACCGATCCTGTCTACGAGGAGGTGGGCAACTTCCCTGAGTTGGCTGCGCTGGATCTGGAGCGGGGGCTGCTGGCAGACCTGTCGGCCGTGCCCCCCGTGGACAGGTGCCCCGTCCCCCGGGCAGCCCCCGGCCACGGCACTGCGCTCCTCGTTGCCCGCCAGCCCGGCCCAGAGCGTGGCAGGTCCTTCCGTCACCAAAGCCCTGTCCCTCGAAAGGGGCTTGAACCTGGAGAGCGACAAAGCTCCAGCCCAGGGGCTCAGACCCACCAAAACGGCCTCTCTGGAGAGGAACATGGAGCCTTCCCTGGCGCTGGCTAGTGACTGGCACCAGGGGGCCACACCGGGGAGCAGTGCCAGCCCAGAGACCTCCCTGGAGACCCCCAAGAAGAGGCACATGCAGCCTCCCTCGCCCATCAACGACAAACTCATCCAGGAGCTCAGCAGCGTCATCCTGAGGAAGAGCGAGGGCCAGGCACCGGGGTCAGGCCAGCCGGTGACGTGACCCGTTGTGCCGAAGGGACGGCCACTGACCTGGGGGTCAAGTCGTGCCCGGTGGCGGCGACGATGGGTACCCCACGCTCCCACAACGGGGAGCCCGTGCCCTCCTCCTCCTCCTGACCCTGGATCCAGGCTGGGAGCAGGGACTGGTGGGGACCAGGGGACTTAGTGAGGACCAGGATGCTGAGGGGCAGTGGTCTCGCATCTGCCGTTGGGCCCAGTGCCACAGGAAGCGATTAAAAGGGAAAATAAAAGGCTGCCCGCGCGTTTCGGCAGCACGGCACGGTGTCGGGCGAGGGGGATGTGCGGTGCCTGCCAGCACAGGGTGACACGGCACGATGTCCCTTCCCCAGTGCTGGGCCTGTGGGGCAGCATCCATCCATCCATCCATCCGTCCTCCATTTCCCTTCTGGCATCTACCAGGGCATATTTTTGGGGGAGGAGGTGGTCAACAAGAGCAGGGCTGGCCATGTGTGCCCGGCGCGTGGTCCTGGCGATGGAGGACGGCTCCTGCTCAGCTGGGCTATTTATACCTCCTCCTTCCATCAGCAGGGAGAAATAAAGGGTTATTTGTACTCTGGGGGG